GATCCCAGCCTCTCCTTTGTTTCTTTTTTTTTTTTATTCTGGGATTTATTTACCTTCTATAATTGAAACATTGTTGCCGTCACTGGCGCTCCAGCTCCATGGCCACCACCAGCTGAAAGCAGGTATCTGGGGTTTGTTTAGCTTCTATAATTGAAACATTATTGCTTCCGGAGCTCAGAGTCGGGCCGCGGCAAGCAGGGAACCTTGGCTTCCTCCATCACTGGAGCAAGCAAGCCTCATGTTCACTTCAGCTGCACGGCTGCCGGCTGCCATCTTTGTTGGTAGTTAATTTGCATATCGCCCTGATTAGCCAATGGGAAGCATAGTGGAGGTATGGTTAATTACCCTTTTTGTCTTTTATTAGATAGGATATGGGAGGACCTCTCAACAAGACAGATTTTCACAGATTTTGTATTTCAGTATAGGTAGCATATTAAATGCAAACATTATTACCATATTCTTTAACAAAAACTAGATGAGTTTTAGAAGAAGAGCATTGAACTGACGGAGTAACAAGAGGACATGGGAATATTTAGAAGCACAGATCAGAACGGGCCCAGTGGTCCCTAGTCTAGTTCTCCCTTCCTATTTCTCCCTTGTTCTCTCCATATGCAACATGTATTTGGAGAGATTTGAATTTTTAATCAAAAGATAAATTCATATTTTTTTATTTTTTAACTAAAGTAATATCAGCTTCCCAGAGCTTCTAATAACATACAATAAACAACATCACTACATTGAGTTTATATAATATTAACCAAAAGCAATTAGTTATTTTGAGAAGTTTGAGTTTAATAAGAAAATAAACTATTCACGTTAGTCTTCTCAAATATTTAATACCATTTCTAAACTTTAGTTATCACATACAAACATTCCTAGAGTTCCAGGAACCCTCAAGTGGGAATTAGTTATACAGTGCAATCCTTTCTCTTTGGAGAAAACAAAGTTCAATTAGACAACAAACCCACACAGAAGCCACTTAATGCCATATTGATCTTTTCACAACCCACGATTATTACAGATGCATTTGATAAACTTTAGAAACCAGATATTTAAATGTTGCTACTCATGATGAAGTGGAAACCCAGGATTCCTAATTGATCCTGAATTCTCTTCTAATGATTAGGGACATAAATGTCACTTACCATATTCCTTCAAGAAGACCTTTGTTAACACTTTCTACCTGCCAATTGTTTTTCAATTTGTGAATCTATAATTTCACCTTAATAGGTTGTCTAAGATGTTTGTTCCTACTGGTTATCTCCACACAGAATTATACTTCTTGTCAAATATTTATATATTTATATTTAATTAGCTCCTTTTCAATTAAATTACTTTTATCAGAGGGTCATAACTAGCCTATACTCATTGATACTGCATCGGCCACATATAGTAATCAGAGAGGCAGAGAGAGTTAGATGAATAATTAATTTGTGGTGCAAAGGTGTCAAGTTTTTAGGCGCTGAGCTTTGATAGATGTTTGAAAATAAAAAAATAATTAAGAAAAAACTCACAAATTCTGTAACTTACAAAACTCTGGATTACTTTTAAATAGCTGGAAATATAATCTTTTAGCATGTGGAAAAAACAAGGTATGTAAATATAGGGCCCCTTTATATTATTACGCACGATTATACATGCAAGATTATACTAGGAAATGTAATAGCAAAGAGAATACTAATAATAGAAAACAAATATTAATACTAATGTAATATAACAATACTGTTAAAACAGAAAGCTTTTTATTACATGAAGTACAGACAATAAATCTGCTACATACTTACGCTCCTCAGATTATTACATTTCTTTTTTCCTTTCAGTTGGCTAATATGAAACTGTATTTATCAAATTTATTTATAGCATCAGTTTTGAAAGAGTATTAGGATTACACTAAATATAATCAATTCTTATACAGAAATGTGTCAAACTGAGGTGCACTTCAAACATACTTGCACTATCAGATAATCATGAAATGGAAAAGGTTTGATTTCCAAAAACAAAATCAGGGAGATAAAAACCAAAACTAAATAACTGTCATTCAAATTTTTATCTGAAATTGCAACAGACAATTATTAAAATAAATTATGGTTTTACAGTATAACTAATTACCTAAGTAAAAGAGAGTGCCTATCATTTTATCAACAGAATATTTGTACTCACTATCCATGCTAACACGACTTAAAAGAAAACATTTTACAACTAACTACTGCTTCTACACATGCTGCCTTAAAGTGACTGGTAAAGTTTGTTCTGAAACTTTAAAAATACAAGACTGACTTGTTCAATCTTAATAAATAAAACTGATGTGAAAACCTATATTTTAAAGAAGCATGTTAATTAAGGAATAGAGACCCATATGTTTGCTTGAATCTTTAAATAAAAGATTAAATGCTATCACTGATACCTCTCTCCGCCGAGAAGCCCAGCACGTCTGCTTGATCTTCCAGACCACTGCAGCCACCAATAGTAAGGACAAAAAACAACTGGAAAACAAAACACAAATAACTGCTGCTTAAAAAGGTGAAGACATGTAATAAAAGAATATGCAGAGGATTTAAATATATACAGGCAGGTTCAAAAGTAGGGTTACAACTATGAGTATGCAAAGCACAGAGTTTATTCTTGTATTATTTATTAATCATTGTATTAGTTTCCTTACAAACAATTGTAGACCTACTTTTGCCCTACCCTGTATATAGAGAAGTAATCACTTTGCCTTGGTAAATAATTCAAGCAAAAAAGGATAAATTAGGGCTAAAAATTTTCTCAAGTAAAATAAAGTATACAGGTAGAAAAATTATTTACATTCCTTGCTATACATTGTAATCTATCTTCTCTCAGAAAAAAAAAGTAAACTTATAACTCTACTGGTCTTAAAAAGCAACAGAAATCTATTTAGAATTGTTAAGTTATCATCAATTTTATAAATTCTAATTTCACATGTTCATTCATTTCATCTTTACTAGAGACTATTTTTGATATGAAAATATTTCAGTGGTTCTCAACTGGAGATATTTTAGCCCTTTGTCCACCCCCAGGGCACATGTGGCTGGAGACATTGCTGATTTCCACAACTGGGAGGGGTGCAACTCGTATCTAGTGAGCACAGCCAGGGATGCTTCTAAATATCCCACAATGCACAGGACTGCCCCAAGACAAAGAATTATCTAGTCCAAAATGTCAGTAGAGCTGAAGTTTAGAAACCCTAGTATATGCTAACATTTAAAATAGGAAATTATTCAGTTAAACCAGTGGTTCCCAAACTTATTTGGCCTACCGCCAAATAAAATATTTTATTCCAGAAAAAATATTACTCAGCGCCCCCTGGAAATTAATTTTTTAAAAAATTTTAATAACAATTAAACAGAAAGATATATGTATTAATGTTTCTACCTTTTTCGTAAAATATAGTAAAGAAAGGTGTAAATTAGAAACATTGAAGTTTGAAATTATGAAACTATTTATTGAACTCAGAATAGAAAGGTAATACAAAAAAAATAAAAACAAATGCACCTGTGGCCATCACCCCCCCCCACCCCCACCCCGGATCGCTGCAGTGGATTCCCACTTTGGGAATCACTGAGTTAAACGTTTATGCATGTGGTCTATACATATTAGTTACAATATTCAAGAACCTATTCTGATACAGAATACTTGTATTTTGAGACTGGCAAATCTATGTGTGTGTATATATATATATATATATATATATATAATGCTAAGTGACTGACTATACATCCGTCCAACCATCTGAATGTCTGAATGACCGGCCGGTACATATGACACACACTGGCAATTTAAAAATAAAGGGTGACTGATGCATGCACGATACATATTAACGTATTTTGTATTTTAATTTTATAATTACTATATTATATATACTATTTTGACATGTAATTTTTTGCAGTAACATAATTACTGCACGAATCTTCTAATTAATTTCCTTTCAATGTGCACGAATCCATGCACCGGGCCACTATTTTCTCAATTAAAGGTTTAGGTGAATCCAATTAATCAATCAATGTTTATTTTCTCTTCCTTTGCTCTGTGGTCAGACATTAAGCTGTGCAAAAATACAGAAGCGAGAAGACCTGAGTCGCTACAAATTGACTGGTCACTATAAAAATCCTGGTCCTCGTCCTTAACTAATAATCCTAGCACTCATCAACTGATTTGCTCATAAGCAGTGAAATTTTTGACACTTTCCACACTTTTCAAGACTTTTAATACATTTTTTCTCCTTGTCTCACTTGAAGAAACTTTAGCATATCCTTCAATGATGATGAGAGACAATTCCAGCGCCTCTCCATGAATGCTGAACACCTTCAGGTACTGTGCTAGACACCTTACATTGATCATTGCCTGCAGTTTCATAAGAACGCTGCAGATAGCATATATTATTCGTTTTTTTAGAAAAGAAGAATCCAACGCTCAGAGTTCAAAGTCAATAGCATATAGTCGCACAAAGAGCAAGTCATAGTATCAAAATTCAAACACAGCCTCACACGCTTTCCTCCCCATCTGTTGGGAGCTGTGAGCTTACCCACCACCTCACAACAGTTCTATTTCCATACACATTCTCTAATGATTGCTTCATTATCAAAAGAAGATTAAAAGAAAAAAAAAGCCTGTGACCCTAACCTTTCCACCTCTGAGGTACCTTTTTATGCTTTATACAATTATCTCTTCTAATATTTATAAACTTGTTTTCATCCTAATTTAAACTTTCCACAGTGCTCAAGTCCCCTACCTCCAAAAAATAAAAACAATACCCCTGCTTTACTGGCCCTGTAGCTTCCTCTATTTTACCGAGCATGTGGTCAATGCATCCACCTCCATGTCAAATGCCTCATAATTTAGTTTTATTTAACTGTTTAGAATCTGACATCTGGCTTGTGAGCTAATAAAAATATTAAGATTAAGAATGATTAATGTGTATATAACACTGAACAGTTTATAGGACACTTTCCTCACCATGACTTTCAAATAATTAAATACACTGGTCTTTTCTCAATCAACTGACTTTCACTTCTCAACTGACAATCCCAACCATCCATTCTTTGAAACTTGGTCTGAATACTGTATTTCCTTGGTCCCCCTGCATCCTTCCTGACACATTACAGGGTCAATGAAGGCAGGTTGCATTCCAGATGCCCTCTGCTAAATTATGGACATTCCTCAAAACTCAGTTCACAGCAACCATGCTATTATCTTCTCTTGCTCTCAGAGAGAGAGCTCAGTTATTTTCAAGCCTTCAACTCTGACCTCACTGGCAATGATTTTCAAGTCTGTATCATTAGACAGACCTGCCAAAACATGAGCATCGAAGAGATTATTTAGTTCAAACTCCTTCCCAGAAAAGAAATTCTCAGCAGAATTCTGATAGACCCAGCTCCTAATTAAATACTCGTGGCTCAGAAGCTGCCTTACAAGTCAATGCATTCTATTTTGAGCTTTAACTATATCATAGTTCAACTATGGAAATATCCTTCTATTAAATTGTCTTTCTCAATCAGTGCTCCTTCTGTTTTCTGGGTTACACTGAGTCAGTCTATTCCCTCTTCTATGTGCTGAAACTTCTTTATATACTTGAAAAAGCCTACATGATTGCCTCTACTCCAGAACTTCTCAATCAGGAGAGTTTGTCCTCGAAGGGGCATTTGGCAGTGTCTGGAGACATTTTTGGTTGTTACCACTTGGTGGGTGTCCAGTGGGATGTAGGATACACAGGCCAGCCCCTCACCACCAACATTTTTCCAGATCAACATGCTAACAATGCTGAGAAACCACAGTGCTGCACTTTCCTGTAACTGTTATAATAGGGTACTGAGAAGTGATACTTAAATATAGTCCAAGGATCTATTCATCTGGAAATCACTCCTACCATTATCACCCTAAGAATTTTAACATTATAGATATAAATACCACCTCCAACCTACCATGTTCAAACTGAACTTCTGAAAAATATTCATAAAAATAAAAACCCAACCACATAAAAATGAGTTCTGTGTAGCAACATATACCAGCAACTAATTTAAAAGCAAACTAGAAAAATAAATAAATAAATAAATAAATAAAAGCAACTAACATCTATGGACCAAGCACTATGGTGTGTTACATGCGTATTACTTTAATTGCCATAATCACACATGATAGGCCCTGGATACTGTTATGTACTCATTTGAAAGATGAGAATGCTAACTCATGGAGAATTTAAGTAAAATGCTTAACTTAAAAAGTATTTGGTTACAAGTTCTCCCCTTTCTTCCAACTTCTTTCTCACCATTACTTTTTAGCTAAAATGTAAAAAACCACATTCAATCTTATCACCCCTCATACTCAGACACCAAATTTTATTGGCTGATTCTTGCAGAATATCTGCAAGTAGTAGATAACAGTACATATACTAAAAGTCACTTATATTAATTAGATACTACTTAAATAGCAAAACAGATTTTTGTTTGACGATCTGTAATTCACAATATTTCTCAGTCAAAATAGTTACATGATAGAGATTCAATTTAATATGAAGACTTGCTGAGTTTCTCCAAGTCTTTCTGATCTAAATTTCATGACTCAAGCGAAGACTTCCACTTCATACTGGCACAGAAACCCAGTATAAAAATGTTCAGTTTTCATCATTTCAACCTCTTCCGAGAAGGAGATACACACTTTAGAGGTTTGCAGCTAACCCTCTATGCTAATCGATATTAGATTAGAGCTCATGATGATATAAATAAATTGGTTAGTAAAATCAATAAATAAATTAAGAAAATATTCCAATAATCTCCAAAAATTATTTAAAACCCAATGAAATATATCTGTTTCTGGCAAGTAGTAGTTGTCCTTAAACTTTCTCTAAGTGAATGGAATTGGTTCTTTAATTGATTTGAATATCTTATCATTTTTCTGACATGGAAGGTCTTCTTTGGCATTATTAGCCTTATATCAAGGTAATACTTCGTAAGTGTTCTTGATTTGTAATAAGTTACATTGCAAGTAAAAATTATAGTTCTTTTTAAACATCTACATTTAAAACAAAAACAATCTATTAAGAACGCTTGCTTCATAAAAAAACAAGCAAGCAAAATCTCTTGACAAGTGGATCCAGCATTGTTGAAAGGTTACACTCATCCCTTGGCGACTAACAGAAAACACCAGTCTCCACGGACAACCCGGGGCCTGAAGAACACCAGACTTCCCATCAGTCTGGATTCCTCGATGGGCGGTGCCCCACACACCACCCTGTCCCTCCCACTGCCTCCTTTCTGCCCACTGGACTCTACGTGAGTAAAAAACTTGAATTACGCAAAAGGACTGATATTTATGGGTTTATCTGTTCCAGTTAGCTTTTCCCTGATATATTTTTAAGACAAAATTCTTAAGGGCAATGTCAAGTTTTAGCATCCTACGATCTGGTATTGTGGTAAGTTTATCTGAGAGAAATGTTTCATTGCTTTCTTTCAGATTTTTTCCTATTATATTATACAGTGTTTTATAGCTCCTTGGCAGAGATGTGGGGGCAGGGGGGTAATTGAGCTTTCTTTTTAAAAAATGCTGTGTAATAGTATCAGAAGATCTGAAAGGTTCGTCATCCTTTGGTAAAACCCCCCAATGGAAATAGGAAAAAAAGAGAAGAAAGGAAACATTAAAAAGCAAGCATGTAAGCTACAGGGATAAAAAAGGAAAGCACAGGAACTTAGGGGAGATATTTCAATAATTTGATTTTAACCTTCATAAAGTGGTCATTATGGAAGGGATTCTTAAAATGAAATAAAAACATGGAGCTCATTAGGTATTCTCATTTAGGGAAAATTAAAGAGAATTCAATAAAATAGCATAGTGTGAGATAGGTTATATTGTAAAGCAGGCCTTGGGAGACAAAGAAATACCCTCTGGTGGTAATCTAGTTGGCCAAATGCAAAAAGCGATAATATTGTCACTATTTTACAGCAATTTGAGGTTAATTGAGCATAAAACTCAAGTCTTAAATAATATTTTAAAAGACAATTTGGGCATATTAATCTTTTATTTCAACTAAAAATTTTACAAACTAGGGAATTGTGTTGAAATACAGAAACATATTATTTTTTTAAAAAAATATTTCCTAATAACTGCTACTCTGGAAAATGTCTGTCAAAGGTTTTAAAAATATCTTCCTAAATGCTTGAAGGATTTTTTTTTTAACCAAGTAAAATGTTAAAAAATAAATCACTAACTTAGAATGCAAAAAAAAAGGACCTGTACAGTGCAAAAATAAATTTACTTCTTTCAATTATCAGATTGACAAAGGTGAAAAACTAACAAAGCCTCCTGGGTGAAAATGGGGAAACAATATGCTCACAACGTAGAGTGGTACAAAGTTCCTGAGGGTTATTAAGCAAGAATCAACCGGACCTTAGGGTGCTCTATCAGTTGAGATGAGTTCAAATGCAGCTAACAGAAAACTTACTGCAAAATGCTGACAAACAACAATGGGACTAAATGGACTTTAAACTCCTTGCTAGGACTGAATTGTACTGACCCAATTTGGCTGTTGAAATCCTAACACCCAATGTGACTATATTTGGAGTCAGGAATTTAGGAGGTAATTAAGGTTAAATGAAATCATAAGAGTGCACCCCTGATCCACAGGAATAATGGTCCTATAAGAAGCCACAGACACCCGAGAGCCATAGAGCTCGCTCTCTCCCCCTCTCCGCGCACACACATTCAGGAAAGGCCAAAGGCCATGTGAACACACGGCGACAAAGTGGCTGGCCACCTGCATGCCCGAAACATAGCTGACATCAGAAACCAACCCTGCAGGCACCTGATCTTACTTAGACTGACCTTCCAGTCTCCAGCATTGAGAGGCAACACATTCCTATTGTTTAATCCACCAGTCTTTGGTATTTTTTACAGCAGCATGAGCAGACCAAGACTGATTTTGGTACCAAGCATTGGGGGCCACTGTAACAATTACCTAAAAATGGGGAGGTAGCTTTAGAACTAGGTAATGGGTAAAGGTCGGAGGAATTTTGAGGTGCATGTTAGAAAAATCCTAGATTGCTATGAAGAGACTGGGAAGGGAAACATGGATTTAAAAAGGCGATTCTGGTGAGAGGTCTCCTAAAATATATCAGTGGCCTTATTTCAAAAAACAAAACTAAAAATTAACATATTCTGTCCATGTTTTTTCTTAACAATGAGAAAATTTTAATACTAATTTACACTTCACTTCTGAAACAGGTTTAAATGACAAAATAAACGTCAAATATATTTTATCTCACACAATGATTAGAGTATTTTTTCCACTTTGTCCATGAGGAAAACATAATAAATGAGACCTCTAAGACATGGCACATATTAATGCTAGCTTGCTTTTATTTAATAGAAGAATTTTTAAATTTAATTATGCACACAAATTCAAAAGCTTCCAATAAAACCTTAAATAATTTACATATATATTCAGCATTGTGAAATTTTACAGAGCTGAACTTCCCAGTATATTTCCATCCTCACTATTCTGCATCAGAAACAGGTTTACTTTGATGCACTAAATAATGTTCATTTGATTACAACTTCTAATACTTTCCAAAATGTATTATAACTATAGCCTCGAAATCCATTTATATTCACAAGTACAAAGTCATAAAACATTAAGTATATTTAAGATGTTTCCTCAAATTTCACTTTTAAAAGACATTTAAAGCATAAATAAATGGTACACACGTAATATACACACACACACACACACACACACACACACACACACATATATATGCATTCAACATTGTAAATTATAATTTCTCAAGGGACATAGACAAACATGACTGTTTTCAGAGCAAAGTGACCACCATGGCAAAGGTGTTGACAACAGAAATGGATTAATAAGCAAGGGATGTGTAAACTTGAGAAAAGAGTATAGAAAACGGAAGGGCTGTAAATGGAGAGGAGCGATTCGCCTTTCTATGGGCCCATATGGATGCATTAGAAGAGATATTACAGGGACACGAATTTCATCTCAATTATGAAGAACGATTAGTTATCTGGAGATAGGAAATGCTATCTCGGGAGCTGGTGCGTGTGCTGTCATTAAAGCCACTCAGGCATGAGGCAGATCGGAACTGGGCACGCTGTGTCCCAGGCAGTGTCTGCCCACCAGCTGTTTTGTAATAAAGGTTTACTGGAGCACAGCCTCCCCGTTTGTTTCCACATTGGCTATGGCTGCTTTAGCATCAGAGTTGTGTCCCTGCAACAGAGACCTCACAGCCCTCAACTACTGAAATATTTACTATCTGGCCCTTCACAGAAAGTGCTTGCTGACCTGTGTGGGGAGCACATTAGAAATTCAAGCACTGTATGCGTGTCTGGGCGAGATAAACAATAATGGCTACTGTGGTGTTTAGGCAAGTGCATGGCATGGCATCTGTGTTGGGTTGGGAAGATTCTTATTACTGTACTAGCCAGTTCTGCCACCTTGGTGAAGGTCAAAATTCATACTGCACTCTGTCTGCCTGTAAAGTTGTGTGCTGTGATGAGGGACTAGGTCTGCCAGATGAGGAGACACATTTATCTAGTTTGCACAACGGCACCTGATGGACCCACATAGTTGTGTACATCATCATCATGTTAACAAAAATAGCATTGCTCCCAGCCCAGATGATCTAAGATCCCATAAAATGGAGACTCAACTGCTTCTCCTAACCCAGCACTTCATTTGACTCCCAGGAAAAAGGGTTTTCATGCTTTGAGAAATCTTCAAGCTCTAGCCCAGTGATGGCGAACCTATGACACGCGTGTCAGAGGTGACATGCAAACTCATTTTGTTGGTTGATTTTTCTTTGTTAAATGGCATTTAAATGTATAAAATAAATACCAAAAATATAAGTCTTTGTTTTACTATGGTTGCAAAGATCAAAAAATTTCTGTATGTGACACGGCACCAGAGTTAAGTTAGGGTTTTTCAAAATGCTGACACGCCGAGCTCAGAAGGTTTGCCATCACTGGTCTAGCCTCTTTTTTAGAAAGATACATTGTGAATTAGCATATTAAGAACTCTGAGAAGCAATGTAAGCTAAAAATAAACTAAAAGGGCCCTACTTAACCTTAGTATACATTTTCCAAAGTTGTTTAACTATGCAATCCCTTTTTATGAACCTACTAGAGGCCCAGTGCACAAATTCGTGCATCAGCGGGGTCTCTCGGATTGGGCAGAAACCAGCTCTCCAACAACCCCTGATGGGTCCAAGATTGAGAGAGGGTGCAGGCCAGGCCAAGCAACCCCACCGTTGCACGGGGTCAGGGAGGGACGCAGGAGGTTGGCCAGCCAGGGAGGGAATGTAGGAGGGCTCCAGGGCGTATCTGACCCGTCTCACTCAGTCCCAATCGGCTGGACCCCAGCAGCAAGCTAGTCGGAGCATCTGCCCTCTGGTGATCAGTGCACATCATAGCAAGCGGTTGAGTGGCCTTAGCATATCATTAGCACATTACACTTTGATTGGTTGAACAGCCAACCAGTTGACAGGAAACTTAGCGTATTAGGCTTTTATTATATAGGATTGTTGCTACCTCGAATAACTCATGTCCTAGGGCAGTGATGGCGAACCTTTTGAGCTCAGCGTGTTAGCATTTTGAAAAACCCTAACTTAACTCTGGTGCCGTGTCACATATAGAAATTTTTTGATATTTGCAACCATAGTAAAACAAAGACTTATATTTTTGATATTTATTTTATATATTTAAATGCCATTTAACAAAGAAAAATCAAAGAAAAAAAATGAGTTTGCATGTCACCTTTGACATGCGTGTCATAGGTTCGCCATCACTGTCCTAGGGAATGATGCTCTATTCAGTTATATTTAGTACTTCCAGATTATAAACTCTTTGAGAACACAAAATACATGCTTGTTCCTATTCCCTACAGATTTTAGCACATTGCTAAACACATATGATAATTTCTTTAAGAAGTCATTGAATTGATTTCGTTCTAGGAGATGTACCTAATCAATATGGTGAGTGTACTGTTCTTATGTGTCAGGGGAACCCGAAGGTATCCTCATTCCACTGAACCCACTTTCTATTAAGTAGTCCAAAAGTAAAATAATCTTGCAAAAGTATATTGCAAGTATGTTTCATCTGCTCTGTGACATATATTTAAGCATATAAAACTATTCAAGATACAATATATGATATTTTAAGATTAAAGATTTGATAAATTACCTAACAGACTTACATATTTCAAAATACAGATTTAATAAATCGAAGTCAATTAAAGCAAATTACCTGAAGAAGGTGACAAAAAACTGCACAAGATCCATGATTGTATTGTGTTGTGAAAATGCAATCTGAAAGATCAAAATAAAAGAAAGTCTAAATTTTACTGAATAAATATAGTAAAGTTTCATGGCATTTGTAAATACAATATTTTTAAATGATTAAGACCATTGATCACCATATTATAAATCATTCATGCTGGAATCAAAATCAGTAACAACACCCTAAATCTGTAGTTTGGAAAGTTTCTCACCCAAAAATGTTAAAATTAGATTTTAATGTAGAAAGATTTCTATTGGCTAATGACATGACCCTTTACAGATAATCAACATGTACCCATTTTGGTCCAAAGGTCATTCCCACGAAAAATACAACAAGATTTTTCAAGTCACAATTAAAGTGATTTTTACAACTTTAGCCTACATAAATGTACCTTAGGCATTCCCTTTTCTGTAATGATTTTATACATGTTATCCAATAATTATTCAAAAGTTAATCAACTCAAGAGACCAACTAATGTTAATATTTAATAATATCTTAATTTGCCCTGTTTTTAAACAGCTCCCAAATAATTGATAAAGTGAGTGCTAAAATACTGAGCTAGCTGAAACTACAGCAACAGAGATGATATATTTTGTCCATTTGATGATAATATATTTTGTTCATTTAAGCTTGAATGCAAATTCACATTGAGTACATGCTCAAAATCTAAAACCTGAAATTAAGTAAAGCTACGTTTTTCATTAAATGATAACAATCAACATTTTGAATTTGTGATTTAAATAAAAAGTCTGAATTACACACATTTGGATAAAGAAGTAGATTAATAGTTTGATAATTACCACAAAATAACAGAATTCTTATTTGTTCTGATTATGAAGGACAAATTGTTGTGTTTGTGCAAATGCCCGATTGCCATAAATTCTGATATACAGTGGAGCCTTGACTTACGAGTTTAGTTTGTTCTGTGATGGAGCTTGTAACTCAAATTACTCGTATGTCAAATCAATTTTCACCATTACAATGACACATGATGCTGGGCTGATGTTTTGGCGTTCACTGTGACATTCGCTGCGCCAACTAGCGGTGGGGTATCTGAAGCTGGCTTGTAACCTGAATTTAAGCTCGCAACTCAAAGCAAAAAATCGGCCGAGAGATGGCTCGGATCTCAAAAAACCCCATAGTCGGGACACTCGTAAGTCAAGGCCCCACTGTATTTGAAATAAATGAAAATATAAAGGGATGCGCTAAAATTATCCAATTCATCTAACAAAGCAAAAAAGAGGTTTTCAAACAACTATTTAGATTATAGTCTTGCAAAATGCCAACATAATGGAAGTTAGTCAACTAGTAATATCTCAAAGACAACTGGATGATGTTTCAGGCAAGTAATTCAAGATCGCATTAGGTCAGTGATGGTGAACCTTTTGAGCTCGGCGTGTCAGCATTTTGAAAAACCCTAACTTAACTCTGGTGCCGTGTCACATATAGAAATTTTTTGATCTTTGCAACCATAGTAAAATAAATACTGATCTTTTTGATATTTATTTTATATATTTAAATGCCATTTAACAAAGAAAATAAACCAAAAAAATGAGTTCGCGTGTCACCTCTGACATGCGTGTCATAGGTTCGCCATCACTGCATTAGGTTCTTATTTATTAACTAGAGGCCCGGTGCATGAAATTCATGCACAGATAGGGTCCCTAGGCCTGGCTGGCAATCAGGGCCCATCTGTGGGGCAACCAGCGGGGCAATCGAGGGGCCCCGCTGGCACCCTTGGCTGGCCTGGGGCCTGCGAGCTGGGGGTAGTTCCTGCATTGAGTGTCTGCCCTCTGGTGGTCAGTACACACCACAGCAACTGGTCGTTCCACCAGTCGTTCCACCGTTCAGTCGATTTGCATATTAGCCTTTTATTACTAGTATATAGGATTTTTTTAAAGAATTTAAAGCAAACTGGAGATTAAATTACCCATTACTTAACTATGATAATATATCCCAATAAGCATGAACTTCCTACAGATAATAACATATTACTATGTTATTATACATACTAACATAATATGTATCATTTCTAATAAAGTAATATTTCAAAAATGGAGTTAAATAGAAAATTATAATATTTAAAAGATAGAATAAAACCTATTTCTGGATGTAAACATGAAGAATAAACATACTAGCCAATTCTGTATAAATATTACGATGATTATAAATCCTTGAGTATTGTCTATGAAAATTTAGTGGATTTAATTATTTTTAGAGCAAATAAATGCCTTAGTAAAGGAACTTACAACTTTCCTCCTGCTTCAATGCAAAAACATAACTGGTCTCCTTGACTTCAATTTCATAACATCTGGTCACTCTTCACCTAGCTAACAAAAAATTCTCTTTAAAACTGCAAGAATTTTCTGTAATTCCCCTCTTCACAGTCCTTCATTCCCCTGCTTAAATTTCCTTGGTGTTTTCCATCACGTTTAGCTTGGAGTCCAACTTACAAAATATGGCCCCTGCTTCTTTCTCTACCCAGGGCATTGACATTAGTCTGATCAGATAACAGTATTAGTAGTTTCCAATATTTGCCATCCTTTATCAACCTCTGTTCCTTATTGGAACTGTTCCAATGATTCACTGCCTGGCAGTTCTACCCTAGATCCTGTCTCTTTGGTGGCCTCGATTGTACTACTGTCGCCCCTACCCCATACTTCTACAACAGTACTATTAAAACAAAAACAACAAAAACCCAACTAAGTGACTATTGCCCAGGCCCTGGCTAAGTGCTTTTCATATTTCTAATTTATTTTGGCAACAGAAGTATTACATAAAATAGGTAATGTCATTAAATCCATTTTATAGATGAGGAAATAAAGGTTTAAAGGTTACACATGCAATATGCAGTAGAGCTAAAATGGAAATCAATGCATTAGGAACTCTAATTCTTATGTTCTACACTCTCCTAAGACCTGTACACTGAGTATCACAATGTACTGTGGTAATTAGCTTACCTTTCTTTTCCCTTCACTTGACTTCAAGATATTTGAAGTCAGGCATTACAATGTTCAGCCACACCTTCCTAGCTACTAGCAAAGAACCTAGAATTTTAACTTATAAGTGTTTAGTAAATAAATCGCAGTAACTTCTGGAGATATATATCTCAAAGTTCTAAATAAAAAGTCTTAAAACAGTTTCATTTTAACTAAAGGTCAAGCTGTACAAGAAAATAAGAATTACTTTTATATCAAGATTATGTCAGTTAAAATACAGTAAAACTTTATATCTACTTGTATACTACTTGAAGTTAAAAGATATTACTTGAAGCTAAAATATATTACTTGAAGTTAAAACATATATTTTTTCAAAATCATTTTGGCTGAAGTTAAAGGATATTGTTTAACATTTTTCAAAAGACATTTACAGCCCTAGCTGGTTTTGCTCAGTGGACAGAGCATTGGCCTGCAGACTGAAGGGTCCCAGGTTCAATTCCAGTCAAGGGCACATGCCTTGGGTTGCGGGCTCAATCCCCAGTAGGGGCGTGCAGGAAGCAGCCGATCAATGATTCTCTCTCATCATTGATGTTTCTCTCTCTCCCTCTCCCTTCCTCTCTGAAATCAATAAAAATATATTTTAAAAAAACATTTATAAATGCTAAAATAGATCCTTTAAAATGACAGCATAAAAATTTGCATGTGTAATGTTACCTGTTCTTCATTATAGTATTAGCATATTTTGAGGTTTCCTGAAGAGTCTCAAGTTTTAATTCATAAATCAATAACATATACCAATAAGACTAATGGCTTAGATAGAAATCTATACTCAATTTATGCTTATAAAACCATTTTTTAGAATCTTGTGATTTTCAATACAGGTTGTAAATATAGAGAGTTAAAGTTTTGGTTTAAGAGGATGTTTGGGAAAATGGGAGAAAAAGAGAAATCGTCAATTATGGTAACATGAAAGTCAGGTTTACAAATGAAGGGAATATATACTTGCTGATCAGTCTCCAATCTATTTTCTACCTATATTCACACATACACAAAACTTAAAATTATTACTATTCATTATTTTATCTTGATTCACTATGAAGAATTTATACAAACTTTAATTTTATTTTGGTTTCAATGGGTTTTACTTTAAGAATTTTAATGTCTCTATTGATTTATATTGTTTACTATATTCTTACAGTTAACCTCGTAGGAAATGACTCAAATAAAATAAATCATGCATCCATATTTAAAATTGGCTCTTAGAGATTATGACATTATGTGAAGGTACAGCTTTGGTCTGTTAATTTTTTAAATGAGTATTAAATATTTTTAAAGTTGAGAGGATTGCTTAATTTGTAGTATAACTTTCAGGGATACCATTTTAATTTTGGATTTCAAGCAAGTGCATCATATGGGAAATCTGAGATGAATGCAATTTAAATAAAATATTTTCTCTCTTGAAATGTTGCCATTTCTTAGATGTAGTGACATAAATACTCAAATATTTCATATTTGGAAAGATCATAACATTTGCAATACACTCACAATTACAGGCTAATAATATCTTCATTGAGGTATAATATAAACACAATTAAATTCCATTTTAATACATAGTTTATTGAATTTTGGCAACTTTTACAAAGTTACTTAATTAAAACCACATGGTAGATGTCCTTTGCCTCTGCAATGGAGCCCCTCCATAGACCCTAAAACTTCTATCTCCTTTTTATCACAACAGTCTTTATTTTTTATACAATTTCATATAAAGGAATCATAGGGTATGTAACATTTAATGTTTGATTTCTTTCATTTAGCATAGTCTTTTATTTTGTTTCTTTAAATATATTTTTATTGATATCAACGAGGAAGGGAGAAGGAGAGAGAGAGAGAGAGAGAGAGAGAGAAACATCAATGATAAGAGAGAATCATGGATTGGCTGCCTCCTGCACGCCCGCAACTGGGGATTGAGCCCACAACCCAGGCATGTGCCCTGAACAGGAATCAAACCACGATCTCCTGGTTCATAGGTCTACACTCAACCACTGAGCAACACAAGCTGGGCCACAGAACATAGTATTTCAAAGATTTGT